TGGGTGGAGAGGGCGGTACACTGTAACATTGTCTCGGTGATAGTTTAGCTTCGTTTCTAGTGTAAAGTGTTGCTGCGGGATAAGGTTCACCAAGAACTCAACATTACCCTAACTGGAGCAGTAAAAGAGAAAGGAGACAAATTTATTTATGGAGGCTGCTACATATCACACAGAATAATAACTCACATGAAATAATTGGTCAGGTTGTGATTGTTTCCAATCGAGTCTTAGCCCCGGAGGCTACTTCTGAAGTGAGCGAGGTCTACGGCCCACAACAAAGATAGGTTGTGCTATAGCTGGAAAATGAAAAATGGTCTGATCAGCTGCCCGATGGACGAGTGAGCAGAATGATTGCGTTCTGCCCATGAGGCCCCGGGTTCGATCCTCAGTTGGGTCGGTGTATTGACACCGCTGATGAGACCCAACCAGGTTGAAACAGCTGTCCAGTGCTTCCTAGATTTTCAGTTAACGTTTCATTTGTCATATACACGATGGAATTCCCCTTTGAAACAGAAAAGTGTCGACACGCAGATGATTGATTGACATTTGTCCACTTTAGGCACCTAAGATATCCGCCTATCCACGGAAAGTTAGGTGTATGCTACAGCAATCTGGTCCCGTTGTACAATGCAGGGACTTCGCTGCTACACGATAAGGATGAAAGAAGACTATCAGGGTTTGTATCAGGGTACGTCGTATCGCTGGAGTCCGGTGGGGCAATTGGACACGCAATGAAGAGGACAGGTGAAGAAATGTGATGACAATCCCTTACCAGAAAAATTGCACAACCTCATTAGATTGAAATGGTCTGGGGTGTGTGCAAGGTATGCCGCAAGAATAGATTCCTCGGTGCGATGTTAGAAGAGGTAATGATTGGGAAGCGGTCTCAAGGTGACCACACTAAAGCATACCATGAAGGCATGAGCAAGTTGACCAAGGGAATCAGATATTCAGGTAGCATTGCTTTCTTTTTGTTTTGTTTTTTCATTTTTCACTTCATTTTATTGAACGCACAATGATACAATTTTCAGGAAGGGGGAAGTGACCAATAAAAGGACTGACATACAACACACAACTGAGGAAAGTCAGACGGTTGTGGTGGGTCGAACACTCGTCCTCCGGGGTGATAATTTGGCGACGTTACCACCGCCTTTGGAGCGACTAACTGGTGCGTGAGAATAAGGTGGCTTCATGGCCTGGCGATCAGCAGCAAGGTTGGCGCAGTTTGAGACCCAGTTCTGGTTCTAGTTACGAAATCCATATTGGGATGGGAGACTCAGCAGTTCGGTACCCGCCTTGATTGTAATGCTCTAGGTCTTCAGTTGACCAGAATCTGTAAAGCTATCTACGGCACGGTACAGCGGATACAGCTTGTCACGAGAACTAAGTACCGGGTGTTCGGAACACGTGACCAAATCGCCGAAAAAGCCGGAGTTGCAACAAACGAAAAACGTTGTCCATGTTTGAGTAGCGCCTTCTAGCCTCATCATTGGAAGCCCAATCTCTCTGATTTACTTTCGTGATGAGATGTAAGCAGTAATGGTCAAAGACCATGGGCTTGTTTGTAACACGCGACACGTTTCACAATCATAAATGGGGATGGAACGGATGAAAGCGTAATAAGCCAGAAGCATGGCAAGTAGGATTGTTTCTCATCGGTTCCACAACGGTCCGAGGAGTTGTAGGAAGGTTCTCCCAGCTCCGACTAGACGACGTTGGATTTCATCTTTAGCCCGGCCGTTTGGTCTAATTATACAGCCAAGATACTTGAAAACTTGGGTTGTTTCGACAAGCTCCGCGTTGGTCAAGAGGGATTATGTCGCGGTTGAAGTTTCGGTCGAAAATGTCTTGGTTTTCCATGGGTTGATCTGTAGCTGAATAAATGACCTGGGAAGGCTGGTTGATGCATCTAACAGATACTCGATCCTGGGCCACGTTGCACTCCGGGGTATTTGACGAGTGTTTGTAGCATCAACTTATCTGCTGCGACGATTGCAGATTCCATCACATCTGTAATCGCTTTGCAGTATTGTTTACGATCCCTCTTGGAGCAGCTTGACGACGTAGACTACGGAATTTGGGTAAGTTGATCAGTCGCACCTCTCTTGACTGCGGACAAATGCAGCGCGCGTTCGGAGATCCAGTGGTTTTGTGGTGGAAAGTTTTACCTAACCTCTCCCGTACCACTTCTCTGATGAACATTTTTAATGTGAACTACCGTGTCAACAGTTTTGTCGTCGAGAGGAGTTGCAGCTGTTGGAAGCGGTTCCGTCCAGCAACGTCCGCTTTTTCTCGGTTGATTCCGAGATAGCTGCGTTGAATTTGCCTAGAAGGCGAGTCCTCCAGTGAGCAAACGTGTAACAGGGTATGATTAGTGCCGTTTCTGTTTTTACTTTCTGTACTACCATAAGAACGTTAATTTTTTTTACTGATGAGGTCCAGCGAGCATGTACCAAATTGTATCTATCTGGTGTGTCGTTTGACCGTCATTCAGATCCCAAGTCAACAGGTTTTCTGAGGTGCTAAAAACAGGTGTTGGTCACGATCAGCCGGTTAAGGTTAGCAAATGTGACTAGGCGTTCGCCGTTTTCGCAACGTTGACCAAGGCCGAACTTATAACATGCTGTGTACACTTGTCTGATGAACCTGTGCGTGCATTCCAATCATCTGCGATCAGAACATCGTGTCTCGGACTGCGGCTGACTCCGTCTAGAACTTGTTTATAGAAGTAACCTTTGGTGAGCGTTTCCACATGTAACGTTGAACCACAGACTGCGATGACAGTCAGGTTAAGTGGCCGACGCCTGAAGCGCGCTTTGGTTATCCTGGAAGAGGTAGGTTTCCAGAAGAGTGTGGTTATTGGCCCGACTGCTCACAGCGATTGCTACTTCGTGAAAAATGCAGTTGTCAGTTGGTTTAACCGGCGTTATAACCGGTAGGGTGTCAGTGTATGATACATTGATGTTTTGTGCCGCAATTAGGCAATTGGATGTCGGATGTACAGAAAATGTCTACTTTTAATGAAAGCACTGCAATGCACTGGTTTCCTATGTCTAGAAATGTCCCAACATTCCAGTAATCTACGTGAATGTTAGGTCTGATGTTCACATGGTCTAGATTTCCAGTTAGCTCATTTTTCACTGCGGTCACAGCGAGAACGAACAGCGTATCGCATCCCGGGAACACTAGCATGAACGTGATGTAACATCGGAAGACAATCCGTGAAGAAACTTGGGAAAGAGGTAATTGGTGACATCTCCAGCGCCGCTCTACTTTTTTTTTGAGGGAGCACCTCTAATCCATGCACAATCAGGTGACATCTGCGGAGAAACCGAGTAGAATAGTTAGTAACCGATGATTTTCAAAACGGGTCTTACACCCTTCTGATGGCTCAGTGCTAATCCAGGATCCGTGATATCCCTGAGGGCGGCTAGTGCTTTGCCCTTTCGTTGCATTCAAACCTTGTCCTACTCGGGTAATTAGACAAGTGACATTGGCTTGATTTGGTGGTGGGCGACAACCGCAAACGCCTATGGCTTTCAAAAAAAGATACCGGTTGCCAACTAACAGCAATGTAAATGCCATTATTTTGAGTATTGCAACTAATAAAAGTGATATAACTAATCTGCACGGCATCTAACTTACTTTCTAGGTTAACGGGTGTACAATTTGAAACTGGAGGTCCATTGTTTATTGTTGCAATAATCCCCGTCTCTTGTAAAATTTGAAACAAACTGATCCAATTGAATAGGAGGGAATAAAGTCTTTAGGTATACCTTGTTTACCACGTATAAGTACACCTTGAATACAATATCTTTTTTTTTCTGTTCCCGAAGAGTGAGGTCTAAATCTTTAAATCCGACCGCTTGCCGCCCTAGAGACAATCTGAACAAGCTCTGTGGCATACAATCGAGTGAAATGGCCTATGAACTTTCGTAACAACTTTATTTCTAGCATTGCCCGGGCAAGTTCCTTCTCGCCAGCAAACCATAACAGATAAAGAACAAACAAAGTCTGGGTACCCAAGACTTCCAAATGGGTACAACAAAGTCTGGACGAAAATCGGTCCCACAGTTAAAAGATAGATCACTTACTCGCACTTGACCGGTGGAAGCCTCCCAAAGATTGAGTGATTTGTCACTGGAGGCGAACAAAACCAACTCTCCGCTGGGACTGACATCCATGCAAGATAAATGTATCNATCCGAGGCTGTTAGCGATAACCATGAAATACGGATAGTTTGAGACATACCGGTCTTTCTTTGGAATAAGGCAACTGAATCACGAGATCTGGAGATTGAAATGTGCGTTTCACCCCGGTCGTCGCCGAACGAATTTGCAGGATATTCTGTAAATGCCAATGCGGAAGAACAACAGAAAACCTTACCGGAGGATAATAATAGCATTGGCAACCGTCTGCGCTGGGAATGAAATCTGAACCTTGTCTTTCTAATTTATGATACTTTGTAACCCCTGGTGAGTTTTAAATCAGCTTTGCAGGTGACTTACCATCTTCATATTGATGAAACCAAATTTCACCTTCGCCTGCCCTTAAAGAAAGATCAGCATAGGATAACATCAGATGACTTACGTAATACTTCTGTCCCAATCCGGCTGTATTCGAAATCCCGGGCATCTGCTAATCATACTCAACTGAATATGATAGGTAAATGGAGGCTAGATACGAGAGGAATGCATTATACCACCACGCGACCCTGAAAAATAGACAGAACAGCTGCACAGAAGTGTCAACAAAGAGATATACACGGTGACGTGAACCCATAAGATCTAAGTGAATCGATTACTTTAGTGCCTGGAAAATCTTCAATCTTATTTTAGGCAGGCAGATTCTATCGATTCGGTTAGAACCTAAGACGAACATCATCGATGGACCCGAAAGACAGTTAAAATTTTTTAATAATCCAAACAAACAAGACTCTGAATCACTGATTCCTTTATATAACTTTGCAAAGAGATACAACTATTAGGCAAAATGACTGGTATGGCGACATTTCTTCCGCACGGCATGAGTAGCTTTAACAAGAGATGCATGGGGTATCCAGTAGGAGTAGCACCTCTAACTTTAAGGGATATTGGCCCCTCTGAAGCACCCTCTATTCTTTAGTTTCAGCTTTCACTTGTCGCTTCAAGCAGCTTTTTGGATGTAACAGCTGCCACACACACCGGTAAACCGATCCACAGGCGAACCAAATCAGGTTGAGTGTAACCGAGATGTCAACTCCCGGTGAGTTGGTGTCCAATGTACTAGTGGATTGGGTGCACGGAGTCGCTCACACGACCATCGGTGAGCGAAAAAATATAGGTATAAAAACAGGGAAAATAAGACCGGCAAATTCAAGGAGTAACAATATTTTGTTTGTTTGTTCACTGCACGCCATTTTGAGGTTCTTTTTTCGTCTTTACCTATTTTTGGGATTGCAGACAAGAGGTGATGCATTCGCATCACTGACTTCGGTTCGATGCCATATCCTGCACTGTCTCCAGCCAAAGACGATCTGAATCTTTGGGGCCCCAGCTAGGGAGCCGAGAAACCCCAACTAAAGCCAGATCCGAGCACAATCTCTTTAACCCTCTGCATCACACCTTAGCCCGCCAACCTCGTTGTTTCTTCCAGCCTGGACCGATGTCTGCGAGTAGTGCACGGTGTGGCAGACGGTGCTCAGGCATTCGTAGGACTCGCCCTAGCCACCTAAGACGATGCTGTGAAATTATTTTGCTCAGAGAAAGACTATCTGGTCCCAGCACCCGCCGTCTGACTTCATCGTTGTTCACGCGGGTGCTCCCACCATACGCGGGCGATGTTGCGCAGACAGCGGTTGTCGAAGACTGATAGCTGCTGGATGATGTTGCGCAGACAACGGTTGTCGAAGACTGATAGCTGCTGGACGTGATCTGCTCGGAGGCCAGGTCTCGTAGCCATAGA